ACCATTATTCGCGTCCCCAACAAATTGTCCTTTCACATTTTGAGCTATCATTAAGGCACTTTTTTCACTAAGTTTTCTAAACTTTAGTGTTTTACAGAAAAGAACCCTGACCTTGTTCTGTTTCCTTCTTACTATATTCCAGCTCTCCAAAATGCGTGATTCAACTATGTTTTAGCGTAAAACATTGGAGTATGATTGCTTTTCGGCTTGTAAGATTATATTCACCTAATGAATTTGATGTGGTTTAGTAGAAATTTAATTGGCAAACAAATTAGTTCATAATCTAACCGCCAAAAGCTAAAAATGGCGATATTTGTAGCCGTGACTCTTAATCCTCATGAGAAATTATCGCGATTTGTTTCGTTTTCCAAGAATATCGTGACATGTCATGATATAATTGAATAATTTCCAGTGCACACGCGTCGCAGTTGCACATCACGCAGACGCAGATATAATTTTGCTTACAAAGCTGACCTCATGCTCATTTGGCGCTCCATCCTTACCTTTGTGCCAACGCATTTGGATCTGACGCATACTGTGCAAATACACAGTTTGCACGGCGTCGACTGATCATAGTTTTTAGCTCTACGCTTTCCCCAAAACAAATTGCGATGTACCATAACGAACGATTTTTGTATTTTTTTAATACAATTTGGAAATTTGGTAGAACAATATTGGATTAGTTGAGATGTCTTATGCTCGTTTGATGTTTTCGTTGCAACACAGAAAGTGCCTAGTTTCCCACAATTTTTATGTCAAGGTTCCAAAAAAGGAGAATTACTGAGTGTTTAATCAATCCTTACGTAACTTTGGAACTATTACGATTTTAGAAAGTCTAATATGCTCTTACAAATATTATCTGCAGCTTCTACATTGCAATATGCATGTAATTTTATGTCTGAGGCAATAAAACAGCAAAGAAAATGTCCGTTTTTCGAAACTCATACCGTAACGACTCGTTCGTAATCGATGTCCGTTCCAACAGGATACGTCACTAAATAACTCGCGCACAAAGAAAGAACTCATCGACGAGATCATGTCGTGAATAGGAGTGTGGTGATCAGCCGATTGTGAGCAGTATCGCCCCCATCCGTATCGCATCGCATCGCAATCAGAACTGTAGCCGAGGTGTCGATCGAGTGACGAGCATGCGACTGCTGCCGAACAGCAAATCAAATGTCGACCGCTATACCCAAACAGCTTATGATAGTATTGCAAAATGGGTCCTATAAGGTAAACAATGTGAGCACATCGTTATGGCATTTGACAGGAAGATCGAAACATGATTCATTAACTTTAACTAGACTTTAATACAGTTTAACACTTAGAAAATTAATTTACTAAATTGAGAGCAATCAAACTCGACTGTGACCATCTGAACAGGTAAGTTCGCAAAATGTTTTTTAAAGTAGACATTGGTTGTTTTTTCATCACCAATATGACATCAATCGATAATCGATTAAATTATTCAGGTGCTCTCGCTGGGCGCCGATGTGCTGCCGGAGTACAAGCTGCAGCCGACGCGCATCCACCATTGCACCATCGTGCATTACAGGTAAACCAATTATTGATTTCTTT